GGCAGAGGTGAGGGTAGTGTTATAAGAGGAGATAGCCAGTGAGAGACAGGAGACAGTAGGCATGGATAGAAGTTGGGAATCAATATCAGCTGATAGCTGCTGGAGGTCTTTCTTTGCTAAATAATAATCTTCATTGAGTAAGATTCCATTGCAGAATCCATAACTTCTGCATCATCCCTATCAAACGTGTTTTAAAAAAAAAAAAAATCTTAAACCTTGTGGGGTAAATTTGTTTTCCACATATTTTACTAAAGTAAATATTTCCCATTTTATTTCTTTAACAAGTCACTTTTCTTTAAAATAAATACATTTTATATATATAAATATTTATTTTATTGAGGCAATCAGGTAGAGAAAAAAGAAGTAGGAGTTGGATCGTTCAAATAACATAAGCGAGAGCCGAAAACTCCTAAAAATAGCAGCCTCCTTTTGTTTTAATAATAATAAATATAACAAAGAATAACAGCTAGCTTGAGTGTGAGATGTCCCTTAATGTGAAGCTCACCAGTCCCATGGGGAGGGAAGATGGAGTGCCAAGTGACCACCATAAAGCCACCAGAATAATATGTCTAACGCTGACAAGGCTTAACAAGTAACCTTTCTGTTAAGACCTGCAGTGGTTATGGTGCTGCGGTCTTCTGTTCCTTTTCCCAACAGCTGAGCATAAGTGATTATAGCTGCAGCAGGGAGTAGAGGAATAAGGTAGATGAATGCAGTTCCAAGATGAGTCTTCCCAGCAGATAGAATATCCCCCAAACATGAGGCTAGACTTCATGAAGGGTGTAACAGGAATGAATTTTATTGACAATACACGGGCTTTATGAGAAATCCTTCTGCAAGAGGACCTCCCAAAGCAAACAAAGACAACAGCCAATCAACATACAGATTTACAGTAATACACGCCCTCTCTCTGCCTGGGAGATATTGAGAAAAGTTAAGGAATAACCCAATTATCTCCAGGCAGAGAGCACACAATTTCCCCAAAACTCAGAACACCCCTTTCCCCACAAGGTATCCCCACAAATTACATACCCCCTGATAGCCCCGATCTGGGGGACCAACATATCCAAATTTCACCCAGATGGCTGGACGGCTGGCCTACTATGTCCAACATTATGTAAAATGGCCTATATTCCTACATAATCCAATACTCCAACACACTGTACCGGATCGCCCTGCTCTCACAGTTCGCAGATCCAAAAACTTACAGAATTTACTTGTGCACAGCCACCTGGAATCCACTTTATCTAAGCCAAATTGGCTCACAGAAATGGAAGGCACTCATAGATGCGGTCATTGCAAGCCTTGCCAATATATTACTCCATCTAAATTGGTATTATCACCTCAGTCCAATATCACAGTGCACACAAGTGCATTGATACAATTCAGTACCAAGCGCATTATTTATCTCATCACTTGCAGTTGTGGGGCACAATGTATTGGAAAGACGTTTCAGCAATGTAGGTGTCGAATTCTGCAACACACTGGATCAATTATCAAAACTGTGCAGGACACATCATGAACTTTCACGAGGGCAAAGTGGAAAATGTCAAATTTCAGGCAATTGAAAAACTACTACCCAATCCCAGAAAGGCAACTTCAACAGACTTCTATTACAAAAAGAATCACAGTGGATCTGTGCATCCAAGACATTGACACCTCAGGGGTTAAATGAGGAATTAACTATGCCCCACTTTACCCACAATTAATACTAGGATTGGCTCTCTTAAAGGACCACTAGAGTGCCAGGAAAACATACTAGTTTTCCTGGCACTATAGTGCCCTGAGGGTGGCTCTAGGAGGTGGAAGGGGTTAAATTTACCTCTTTCTTCCAGCACCAGGTGGGGGACTCTCCTCCTCCTCCTCTCCTCCTCCTTCTCGTCGTCATCGGCTGAATGTGCATGGGCCCGCACGTGCCGCACACGCATTCAGCCAGTCCATAGGAAAGCATTCAGAATGCTTTCCTATGGACGCTGGCGTCTTCTCACTGTGAAAATCACAGTGAGAAGCGTGGAAGCACCTCTAGCGGCTGTCAATGAGACGGCCACTAGAGGCTGGATTAACCCTATTATGTTTATAAAAAAAAGGGTTAACCCTAGCTGGACCTGGCACCCAGACCACCTCATTAAGCTGATATTAATGACCACTTCATTAAGCTGAAGTGGTCTGGGTGCCTATAGTGGTCCTTTAACATTACATTCTACCAGTTTTGTATTTTTCAGCAAACATATTACATTGGACATGCTCATTTTTTATATATATCACGGTTATCAAGACCTGGAAATATACAAATCATATTTCTATCTTGCTCATGTTCTTGACACGTCATGTTCATCAGAAAGTATTACTTGTATTACAGCCTGGAGTGATTTATGGCCCTTTCACATTGTACAAGAATTACTATCTGCTCTCCTGGCTCTTGCTGGGCTATATGTCTTTGCATAGTTAGTGCCAGGAGTACTTCATTACTTTCACAGTCTGCTAGTGTATCCTTAAAGAAAAATGGATATCATACAGCCTGTTCACATTTATTTACTTATAGGTATACATAACCATATTTACTAATGACATTATTATTTGTTGTGTCTCTGTATGACTTACTATTCCTCCTCTCTGTATCCTCACAATGTATTATTTTGTATTTATCTAAGATAATTAGATTGTTTTCCTTTCCTTTATGGATTTCCTTGATCCCATCCCCTTTTTTTATCATCATTATTCTTTCTTTATTTAATTTCATTTTATTTATTACATTTTATTTTCTCAATTACAGATTGTACTCTCTTGGCCTCCGTAGTCACTCAATTTATGTTTTCATGATGTCACTAATTGGCAACTTTTTTGACCAATCATATTTTTGAGCGCGCTATTTAAACCCTAAATTTCAGGGATTCAGTTCCCCCTTGAAAATCTGCTTACAAAGAAACATAGAAACATAGAATGTGACGGCAGATAAGAACCATTCGGCCCATCTAGTCTGCCCAGTCTTACTGGTAAAACGTGCACTGGGGCTCCTTCCGATGTCTTACCATGCTTGAGTCACTCCTGATTTTGGACCTCCTTCAAGACTGACAGAATACTTGTAGTGTTTAGCAGACGCGGGCATCAGCTTTTTCCTACACTTATCCTGGCTGTGGTATAATACCAATACAACTAGACCATATACCTTTAGCTGATACTTACCGTGGTGTCCACAGTCCGGGCACTAATCTGATTAGATAGGCACTTAGCTTAGACACTCATTTTTTAAGTATTGTAGGTGCCCTCAAAGGCACAGGTGGAATTTT